CACTTGGAAGAGGTCCTTTGGAACAGATTTGCAGAGTGAAATGTGCCTTTGATCTCTTGACTACTGCTTTCAGCGGGGCTGATTGTACATACAAGTAGATCGAAATTCTACTCCAGAAGCTGAAAGAATCACAGCACCCTAAGGATCCTCTGTCCTGCCAAACTGTCCATCAAAATAGAGGTGTGAGAGTTTCCCCGGACAAGGAAAAATACAGAGAATACTTTAAAAACAAACAAACAAAAAACCAGCACCACAAACAATTCTTGCAACTCACTTTGGACAGGAGTCCCCCATTCACAGCAGAGCACAGACATGGAACCCTTGACAGCTAAGCCCTTCTCGTTCGTCACGATACTGCTGACTGTACTCTCTTCACTGCCGTCAAGTCAGCACTGACTCACAGCAGCCCTAAAGCACAGCGTAGGACTGCCTGTGAGTTCCTGAGCACGTAACTATTTACAGAAGTAGAAATCCCCGGCTTTAGCCCATGGAGGCGCTGGTGGTTTTGAACTGTCGACCTTTCAGCTAGCAGCCCTATGTGTAACCGCCATACCACCACAGCTCCTGCTTATTGGAACAGTTGTGAGAATTTTTGTTGATTTTTTTTTATGTTGAGGTATAAGGCACAATGAAGGCTATAATCTTTGATCTTTATCAGTAAGAACTTCAAGTCCTCTTCACTTTCAGGAAGCAAACACCTGAATATTGCTGGCTCTTAATGAGTCTTCCTCCAGCTTTGATATTTTGATATCCTCTTCATATTTTCCAATTTCTCAGATTATTTGCTTAGCAAATAGATTGAGTAAATCTGGTAAAAATGATACAATCTTTTCCACACTTTTGCTGGCTTTAAAGCAAGCAATACCTTCTTGTTTTATTTAAACAATTGCCTCTTGGTCTGTGTATATGTTCTGTTTGAACACAACTGAATGTTCTGGAAGTCCTGTTCTTTGCAATGTTATCCATAATTCAATATGATCAACACAGTCAAATGGCTTTGTGTAGTCAATAAAACACTGGTGACATCTGTCAGGTCTTTTCTGCTTTCAGCTAAGATCCATTTGACATTGACATCCACATCCTCTTCTGAATCTGGCTCGAATTCCTAGCAATTTCCTGTTGATGTACTACAGTAAGTATTTTTAAATAAACTTCAGGAAAAAATGTACTTGAAAGTGATGTCAATGATATTGTTCTACAATTTCTGAATTATGTTGGTTACTTTTCTTTGAAATGGTCACAAAGGTGAATCTCTTTGTTATTTGACTAGCTTCCAAGTTTCTTGGCAAAAATGTGTGACTACTTCCACTGTTCAGCTGTTCGCTAAAATGTCTCAAATGGTATTCTATAAATTCCTGAAGGTTTACTTTTTTTGGTTGTTGTTTTGCCAATGCCTTCGGGGCAGCTTGGACTTCTTCCTTCAATACCATTGGTTCTTGGCATTATGTTACCTCCTGAAATGGTTGGATGCCCACTGATAATTTTAAGAGTAACTGTGTGTTTCTTCATTTTTGCTTTTGAAATTTTAATCATAGCACCCTACAATATTTAAACTTGAGGCTTGAATTTTTTTTCAGTTTTTTCAGTTTGAGAAATCTGACTTCAAGGCTTTGCACATTTCACAATAGTACAGGGTTTCTTGAGTAGCTCTTTGAAATCTTTGTTCAGCTCTTTTCATGATGTCTATCATTCACTTTAGTGACTCTGTGTTAAAGAACACGTTTCAGAGTCTCTTTTGACATCCACTTGGGTTTTTTCTTCCTTTCATGCGTTTTGCATGACCTTTTGGCTTTCTCCACATACAATACCCTTGATACCATTCATTAGTGTTCAGTGTGCCAAATGGACTCTTCAGATAGTCTTTAAATTCAGATGGTGCGTATTTCAGTGTACTTTGGCTCTCATGGATTATTTTAATGTTCTTCAGCTTCACTTGATCTTGGATATGAGCATAATCCCCTATCGTTAATTCCATTTGCTAATTATTTTGTTGACATTTAGAAAGGGTATGGTAGGCTGTTTCTTGTGGACTTGCATTGTACAATTCCCAGCATTTTTGGTAAGAAAAATGCTCAAGAAGGGCACAGTCTGAAATGTCCAGGAGTGCCGTCCCACTCTGCATAGGAGAGTTCTCAGTGGAGTAGCATGGATTCTCCAGGATCAGGTTTGGCAGTGGGCTTTTAAATTTTGGTTTCTAATTGGATTATTAATGTTTTAAATATAGAATTTTTTCAGAAGAAACTTGTTCATGCACAGTTAGAGTAATAATTCTAAGTGACAAGGCCATAGTTGTTTTTTGTTTTAATCAAAACTATATTTTAACAGTCCAATAGAACATAACCTTATCATGAACATTACTCTATTCATTGCTCTCATATAGTGACAATTTAAAAGATTAAAATTCTTAATGTAAGGCTTTTGAACTGAATGATATACTGCCTATTATGAAATAGTTTAAAATATCTGGAGGCATGCTGAATACTGTAAGTCTTTGTGATTTTATTCAGTATATTATTCTGATAAAACTCTATCCAATATCCAAGAGGGCAGTGTTAGTCCAGGTTTACTAGAGAAACTAGACTACTAGAGATACTCATATGTGTAAGAGAGCTTTATATCAAAGTTCACTTATGTATTGAGAAAACATCCCAACCTAGTTCAGATCAAGTCCATAAGTCTGATATCAGCCCATATGTCTGATACTAGTTCATAAATTTCCCTTTAGATTCATGCAGCACATGCCATGATGCCAAATACAGGAAGATCACAGGCCAGTGGGTAGAAAATCTTTTGGATCCAGTGGCAGTGGAAGCATCTCAACCCTGGTGTGGGTCTCAACATGGCTGTTCCATCGATCTGAGTGTCTCAACAACAGGAAGGGAAAGGCAGTGAGAGAGTGGGTCCCAACTCCAGTGAGCTATTGTCAAGCTGTGACCAAATACACTTCATTTCCACAGAGACAGGTGGTAGTGTTGCCAACATAGACTAGCTTGTGAGGATTTCAAATAGCCCTTAAAAACTGAGGAGCACTGTCAATAATATGTCGTATCAATGTTTGATTGAAGAAACCTGCCGAGAGTTGGTAGGTGACCGCTGTAAGTCATCAATGACATTGCTGGAGAGGAAACCCAAGTCTTTTGTTTTCATGTGCACTATTTTAGATGTGCAACTGGCATTGAAAAAAAACCCAATTCAGCAATGCTGGAGGGAATACCTTACTGTGTGCAGTCGTCTCTCTGCACATGACTGTCACACTAAGACTTTCCTAAAAGCATCTGCAGAGTATTATTTGCATAAAGAATGCTGAAATATAATTGAGGTGAAATATTCAGGTTTGGACTGAATGCAGTGGAAGCTGCAATAAAGGGAACTACTTATTACCATGGAAACAAGGAAGTGTGCACAACGAGGACAACATAATAAACCAACAAGACTCTTGATAATAACACATCATAACTTATCATCTTTTGCTTACAAAATAATTTCAGTTTTGTGTTATGACCGTAAAATATGCTGATAGCTAGTATTTGCAGGACTAGTACTGTCTCAAGGACTTATCCATAAAGCTCAATTAGATTATGCAGGCTCTAGAATCGATTAATCTCAGCTTATTGATAGCACCTGAACATCCAGGTATACAAATTCATTTTTGAGTACTGTGATTTTCCAGAAATTACTCTGATCTCTGCTTATGTATTGGTTATTGTTTATTATTTGACAATACTAAAGAACTTTCCCTTTCTCCAGCATAATTCATCACATAATTAAAATGACCATTTTAAAGATAAGTGATTTTTTAAAAAGTTTTAATCACTCATAATAGCATATTTTGTGAAAGGAGTAGTATATTACATTCTTATTTGATTTTCTCCTATGTAGCATATTAAAGTCATTTGCTCCTTTGGGAGGGGCGTGGTGCATGGAATTTGAGTGCTTACTTAAAACTATCAGCTACTGTATTATTCTGTAACCCACAGCTACCTTTAGCAGCTTTTGATTCTGTGGCCTTGTTTATACAAAGGCATTTCGAAACATTTGTGGAAAGCTGTGATTGAACAATACCATAGCTTTTCTGTGAATTCGTGCAGTCCCATCGTATTTGGTATAAATTCCTAGCAGACGAACTAATTCCTTTCAACATCACTGGTGCCCGTGTTCCTTCATATCAGTCATCAATTGCTATTGCGTAGCTATTGGAATATGTTAGAAATTCCGTATTTCTGAGTAGTGATCTGAATCTTTTTCTTATAAATAAGCGATATGCTCTTTGATGAATGTCTTATAAAATACATTTCACTGTCCAGAGTGCCCCTGATCCAATGTCGTGTGCTTGAGAAGGCTGATGCGAACATCAGGATACCCGGAACCCTGGTGGCGCCGTGGTTGTGTTCTCGGTCAGCCCTGAAAAGATCAGCTGTTGGAACCTACCCTGCAACCTCTTCGTAAAAGAAACCCTGGAAATCAGCTCTCATAACAATTACAGTTTAGGACAGACTATGGGGCAGTTTTCCTCTGCGCTTTAGGATCACTGTTATTGCCCATATAGTAACAGTCTGAGGACAAGTGGAGTTATTATTATATTTTAAACACAGGAGACACAATAATGTGCAACTAAATGGTACTGACATTGAAGGAAACGAGAGCGTTTCCGTTTTTTTTTTTTTCTGCCAAGTTAATGAAAGAACATTGCCTCCGTCAGCAGTAGTCCTGTAACTTCATACAATGGGTTAGATAGTAACTCTTGAAGAAGAAGACTTAAAGACTCTTGAGGGAAAAGACAACGCCTTCTGAAATGCAGGGCATGCTTGCTCGACCTGTTACACAGAGAGTAAGTCCAAATACTTTAGAATTATCTATTTTTTGCCAAGACCATACCATACCTTACCTTATTGTACTGATCAGACACAGTACAAACATGTATTTGAAGAAATAGTACCCTCCATAAAGAAAAAGCAATCCTGATTGGCACATACACAACACATAAGATCAGAACACTTCACCTGAAATTCCAAAGCACTGGTAAAGCTCTCATGGAACTGAAAGAACAGAGCCCCGTGGAACACAGTCTGAACACTTGAAGGCTTCTGTGTAGAAAAGTACATAGAAGACCGAGTCACAAATTTAAATATTGAAACAACTATAATTTATCATCTCAGGTTAATCATTATAAGTTGTAGTTAATTTGCTGACTTTGCAACAAAGTCTTCTACTTAGGGCTACAGCAATCAATTGTAATCTCCATTTTCTCATGTGGATTTCTGGTAGACATGCTCTTATTTTCCGTGTGGCTATAAGGTCTCCAAAGTGAATTAATTTTTCTTTTCATCTCATACTTTACATTCTAGATGCCCATGTCATAAAGTAACTCAATTCTCAAGTCATGTCTGTACAAGAAAAGTAATAATTGTTTAGCTGTCGATGTATAACCTTATATCTGTTTGGTTATTTTTCCCCCCAAAAGTGATAGCAACTTTTCTTAGAAAATAGGAGTTAATACACCCAAGCCCAAGTTCCACTTTTCTAGATGTAAAAGTGAGTAAAATGATGGCATGTGAGCTCTTCTATTTCTAAAGTTTTGAGCAACTCCAAGATTCATTGAATCGCATTAAAGATTGGAGGATGAATGTGCATCCATTGATATTTGGCCTTTAAATCTGGCCTGCATGCCAAGAAGTATTTATTTTCTTGGCAGCTTGTCATGAAAGGTCAGCACTTCTTGGCAGTTTTCACCTGATTCTTTAATAGGCATTCAAGCATGACTTTTTTTCCCCCTCCTTTCTTTTTGTGGTCAAAGTGGTGGTCTGTGAAGATGCGAATTCTTTTAAAACTCCATCTCATAGGATTTTGACTCTGTTCTGACAATTTATTTAGATCCGTGGAAGAAGCCTAGTTGATAGTGCACGTGTCACATTAGGTTTAGCCCTCTGGAGGAAATAGCAAAGACCACAGCATGCATTGAAATGTGATGAGATGGAAATGTATGAGGGGGCCAATTTTTACTAAATGCCAGGCCTTCCTGACAACTAGAATCATCCAGAATTGAAGCTAGCTGCCTTTTGCAGTGTGAGTTGTCCAGCAGTGGATATAGATAGTCAAGAAATGGTACTATATGCAAGAGAGAGTCTCGCGAACAGTGGGAGACTGGACAATTGTGTCTTAAGGTAAGTTCTAATTCCTAATTTACAGGAGTTCAAAATGATATCACCACATTTCACTGCCACTGGGCATTTTCCTGAGTAAGGAAGCCATGAAAGAGCATCTGTCTTTCTGGGCTAGGGCTTGAGAAAGCCGTCCTGTAAGTCTACAGGGCATGAGCGCCATTAAAGAGCCAGGGTTTCCACACTGGCAACAGACACTGAGTTGACGAGTGTAAGCAAGAAAAATTGATTCATTGGAATATCTGAAGTTTTCTCAACTGAATGAAAAAGTGAAATCAAGTTTTACGGAAAGTTGAGAACTTTGGCAGCTCTGAATCTCAACAGTAGAATTTGTGAATTCAGATTCAAAATGCTCATATTCCCCCACTCCCTGAAACGATGGTCCAGAGATCATCTTTAAACCTTAAACCCAAACATCCCCCCAGGGTTTATTAAGACCAAACACTAGTTTAGTTTAACTAGTAAAATATATCTTCCTTCAGCATTGTACTGTCTCAGGAACTGTCGATTTGGGATCAGCCAGAGAAATTCTGGGCTTTCGATTCCTGTAAAGAGTGACAGTCTCAGAAACTCCGAGGCAGTTCTACCCTGTCCTACAGAGTCCGTATGAGCTGGAATTGACTCTGTGGTGTGGTGTTTTTTGTTAGTCTGTTGATATGTGGGATCAAATTGATAACAGCAACTTGATAGATTCGATAGGAAGGAACCTTGGGGACGAGTCAGTATGTTCCTACTAATGAAGGAGGAGCAACTCAGGATTGAGAATGATTGCCCTACTGGACGAATATGATTAGTGCCACGGAATTGCCAATGTAGAAACTGCTGAATTGCTGTTGTTTTGCTGTGACTATGGTCAGCAACAAAATAGCAAAACAAAATATACACCTTCGATACCAGTGTGTCTGTGCTTCATATTCAAATGTCTCGTGAAATGATCTGATGGACCTAAATGAAATCAACAACACTTACGAGGCCAAAGCTAGAGGATGGAAGGCGGGCCACAGGGATCTGTGACTGCCAGCCCCACCAGAATCAAGATTTCTAAGAACACGGGTTGAGGTGGGATGAGTCCAGAGTTGCCTGAAAGAAGGGATGGCCGTCTTAACAAAAGAATAGGAGAGGTGACTGCAGGCGTGGAGCAGATTTGGAAAAGTAAATAAGTGAAAAAGGAAGTAGTTTTGTATCCTGTCTCCCCAGTGGCCTCTAAGCTCCTGGAGGTCAAAGATTATACCTTGCTCACTTGTGAATCTCTGGCCTCTGTTGCAGTCACTCAGCACAGCACAATTTTTGCTGAAAGAATGAATTCATAATGGAATAAATTTGAATAGTATAGCTTACAAGTATATTGGACTACCTTCAATAATTAGTGATAAAAGGAATATAATTTAACGAGGCACTGACTAGTGAGTCTTAGAGGGTTGTTAAAATGCATCCCAGGAAAGAGGAGGCACCTTTTAATCTTTTTTCCTTTTCTCCGCTTTCCTTCCTTTCCTCCCTATTTCCTTTAGCTTTTTCTCTCTTCCGAAACATGTCAGTCACTAATTTAGTCATACATTAAAAAGACAGTTGATATTCCACTCCTTTATTAACAAAATATACTTATGCACAATGGGATTTGGGTGGTAGATATTCTGTTTGTGTTTTCATAAACGTTAACACAAGCAGATGGATGGTAAGACCCTTTGCCAAGAAGTCTTGGATTCTAAGGTGTTTATTCTGTTTCCCGAGTTTCTAGGGAAACTGTCATAATCAAGTCTCTAACAGATTTTTTTATAAGGTTTGATTAGCTCTTGTTCAAAGTGTACCTAATCATAGCTGATAATGAGCTTTGAGAAATGTTTCTTATAAATTTTAAAAGGAAAAAAAATAGGAATCACAAGAGAATTTCAGATGCTGTTAACAAGTCTCAGAAATTATTCTAGAAGTCAGAAAACAACACTTGAAGACATATTGCATATATATCATGTTCATTGTATCTATATTAAAATAAATGTTACTACCAAACCAGCCACTAATTGCCTGCATGAGAAAGTTGGACTTTGAATAGCAAGATGAAAGAAGAGTTGATGCATTTGAATTGCAGTGCTGGCTAAGAATATTTAAGTACCATAGACTCCTAAAAGGACAAACAAATCTGTCTTGGGAAAATACAGCCAGAGTGCTCCACAGAGTCAAGGATAGTGAAACTTCGTCTTACAGACTTTGGACATCTGGTCAGCAGAGTCCAGTCCCTGCGGAAGGACATCGTGCTTGATAAAGTGGAGGATGGAGAAAAGAGGCAGGCCCTCAATGAGAATTGATAGAGTGGCTGCAACAATGGGCTCAGACATACGAGCAGCTGTGAGGAAGTCACAGCACTGGGCATCCATAGGGCTGCCCAGAAGGTTGCTGTGGGTGGGAACCGATTTGATGGCACCGAATAACAACAACCAGACCAGGATCTCCTTCATTTCACAGAACTAGATCTACCTAAGGGCTCTATGTCCATATTGAACATGAGCGGCTTCCAAAATCTCAAGGGGATATTTTTCGTTATCTTTTAATTCCATTTTCCCCTGAGCATTTTGACGTTCCTCCATAGCTAAAGATGGCAGCCATAGCAGGAAGATTGTGTTTGATGTACAGCATCTGGAAGAAGCAGTACCATTTCCCTTTAAATGCATTTCTCCTTGTTAGAAAATGTGTGTAAAGATAATAACATGTACTGTTTCACGTATTATGAGTAATTTCAAAGCATTTACGAGTCAGAAGTTTGGGGGCCCTATTTACAAATGGCTGTTTAAGAAGAGTATATGATATTTGGAGTTAAAAACTATTTATTATACAAGTTACAAAAATATAAATGACCCTGCAGACCAACCAGAAAATGAACTACAATTTAAAGCATTAATGTCTACATATAAGATGAAAATACAGTGCTATCTAGAGTGCTGTATTAACAATTGTGCTCCCTCTTTTTGATTAGAAAGTCATCAATGGCCATTTGATTTATGACTCGTGAATGGCTTAGATTATTGTTATTGTGAGTTGTTATGCCCAGAGTAGAACTGCTCCAATGATGTTTTTTATTGTTTGTTTCCCCCAAGGCTATGCCATTTTTTTCAAAGGCCTGTCTACTGATGCCCCTCCAGTTGAGTTTGAATGGCCGTCCTTACAGCTAGTTAAGTTGCATCCTTAACTGTTGGTACCCCCCAAGGACTCTTTGTGGTTAGATTGTTGTTGTTTCTGGTGCCCTGGAGTTGATTTTGACTCACAGTGACTGCACGCCACAGAGTAGTAGAGCTTCCCCATAGGGTTTTCTTGGCTCCAATCTTTCTCCTTTCGAACTGCAGGGTAGGTCTAAACTAGCAACCATTTGCTGAGCAGCCAAACACGTCGGTCGTTGTCGTATCAGCAGGGCTCCTTGTGCTTATGTTAAAAACAACAACAACAAATGTCGCTACCACTGTGTTGATTCCTACTCAAGTGACCCAATGGGACAGAGTCGCACTGCCCTGATGAGATGCTGAGATTGTCAATCTTTACAGGAATGGAGCACCTAGTGGCTTTGAACTTCTGACCTTGCAATTAGCAGCCAGCTGTAACCAACTATGCCTCCAGGAATTTTTTTTTTTTACAATTGATTTATTTTAAACGTTTTCTATTGGATGAGGGGTGGTCTGTAAAATAAGACAAATAATCATTGTGGTGATACTCTCTGTTGAGGGTGAACGACATGTATATCTTCCTAATGGGAAAATAATATGATTCCTTTTTTTCCATGCTTCTGGAATAAATGCTTAAGAGCAATTGAACAGAAAACCACCTAAAATACCAGCCAAAATAAAAGGACAAACTGGGAAATGATAGATTTTTCTCTTTACCTCGATTCAATCAATTCTGTAAACACCTGGG